GGTGAAATGCTAATGGAACATTCGCTACTAAAAAACTAGCTATTCAATTATGCGCAGCCCAAAATATCCCTGGGTTTAAACCTGGCCAAACTCAAAAGACTCCCTTATCAATTACAAAGTGCCTCCCGCAGAAAACCATTTGTGGTCAACAATGTCTTTTGTCACAGGTAGAATCAAGAGTCAGGATGAAGTATATATTATTCATTAATCTTCGACCCCTCCACTAACAATTCTGAGCAGAGATAAGAAATTATGTTGTCTTCCCAATTTTATTTTCAAGCTTTCAAAAAATATTTCAGCGGGAATACATGTAGATGAAAGAGGTTCATTTGTCTGATTTTGAAGACATGCTTATGAACTGAGCCAAAATCTGCCACGTTTCAGCATGTAATCACCCCCCCCCCCACACGCACACACACGACATAGATGGTACTGCCTTGTGACTGAATAGCCTGGCCCATTTTTGGGAGGAGGGGGGTCATGCGTTCATAAGAATATTTCGGTACAATTGCAGGCTGTAGAAAGAGCGCGGTGAGAGCGCCGAGCACTCCGCATCATTGGTATATGTTGGAATTGTCCATGGATACCACATGTCCGCTGATGTAACCTGTATGTACTACAGTGTCGGCTAAAGAAGCCACTTTCTTGTTTGACATACCAGGCCTGGATATACCAGAACTGTGGCTTATCCTGAAAAATTTGTTTTGTTTCGGATGGCACTTGAAGAACAGCAAGCTTAAGAAAAATCATAAGAGAGAAGAAGAAAAATTAATCTATGGGAATTTTGCCTCTCGTGGTTTCGGAATTGGTCAAATACATCTTCTGGTGGCATCTGTTTGAAAGTCACTGGTGATGCTGATGAAACACTTTCAAAATCATTCGTCTATCTGGAATTGCAAAGTCTAAAGACGCTTTCAGTACTCAAAATGGCAAATTTTGGCCTCAAACACGTATTAAACGCACTGGCATAAATGCACTAGCATAGTACAGAGAACACCATGTGTACGTGTTAAGTGTAGCTGCCTGATCCCTTGGAGAGGGCGGAAAGGTTAATGAAAGTGCTCCATTTAACGGTGCGTTCCCTGAAGCCTCACACAACACCCTTCAGCCTGTGGGACAAGGGTGGATGGTATGGTTGGGCCTGTGGAGGGGGATTCCGATGTGAGTGTTCACACTCATTAAGTGTGAACATGCTCTTGCCGATTGACGTCATCCGTGCACGTGTACCTAGCCAGTTAATTATAACCATTGACAACAATTTCACTGTTAGTGCTGAAATACTGACCCTAACCACCTGTCAGATTCCTCTCCCCATACTCCGTGAGCTTGGACTTTAAAGATCACTTTTCAGCATAGGATAGCTTGCAGTGTCTTCCCTGTGAGGGCTTAGACGTTTAAAATGAACCGCCACTGTCAAAAAGGATCTATTTTGAATATGAAACAACATCCTCCCTTCCCTTTTCAGAAAAAAATGATGCTTGACTGTCTATTTGTATTCCAATATCGAATGTAGTGCAATCATAGCATGTGCTCATACCCTATCATGTGATGACGGTAACATTAAAATGACTGACATAGGTGTACCATTTTTGCTCTATGCTGCAATGATATGTAATAATGCAATAATGCAGAACGCACTGCGCCCGCATGAAACCTGTAATGTATTGCTTGGCACTTCGGCAGAACGGTCAGATGCATCGTTGACCAAACATCCAACGAATACCGTGGGAAATATGGGATTCACGCAGCAGGCGCAGTACCTTCTGCCGACATGGTCAATGACAGCATTGGTGTAGTTTTTCCTGTCATCATCAATGTCGCTTCGCTATGATGTCCCCGTGTAAATCTGACCCCATTGACCTCAAGTAACCTGTGCCCTATGACCTTGTTCCAGCTTGTCGGTCCGAGGAGGTCAAGACGAACCCAGCCGAGATAACGGCCGGCAACCCAAGTCAACGTCCAGCAGAGAAACCAGATTGGAAGAGGTTGACGAGAAGACAGCATCTGACCAGTACGTGAATTTCAACTCATATGTTCTATTGTTCCACATTACACGCGCACACACACGCACACACACACACAGAAAAGCACACCAGCCGTCTTCAAGCCTTTATTTGATTTACACCATTGACCAGTTGTGACCTTTGGTCTGCTAACCTAATGGCAGCATGTTTTTGTGTACCAGTTTAACGTTTTAACCCGATGTGTTATTGTATCAACTAGATCTATCGTTTTTGGCAGTCACTGAGCATGACAACAAAATGAATTGATAAACATCACAACCAGGAAACAGTTTATCGTGAATTTGCTAAAAGTGACCAAAGTAACATCAACAGACGAAGCGGTCTGATAAGTCTATTTGCACATACTGTAAAGGATCGGAGCAGTCCGCCATTGTTGTAATCTTGCCATTGTCAAGTCTCCTTATAGCCTACATGATCCATTCGACATGCCACGTGGTCACGTGGTCTCGGCTACATTGACCTTCACTAGAACATCTACTATGTCATGAACAAAAACAAACACCCTGGTGCAGCATATCCTGCCATGATCATGAGAATGGTTTATCAGCCATCTTAAACCACAAAACATTCTCGGGAGGGTAAAACTGGAACGCTGACCAGTATAACCAGGCTGAGAGTATTCTCTCTTAAAAATACACTTACACGAGAGAGTTATCGCTTCAGAAACATGATATTTTGGTCATGGTATTATCTGATGGCATGAATGGAAACAATATGTTTCAAATCTTAAATAGATGAACGAGTGTTCCGATGATTTGGCAAGTCAACAACATCATAAACTCAACGGGTTGTATTCCTGATAACAATCAAGACTGTGTAAACTAATGTATAGCGTGAGCGTTGCCACAACAAGTCGACAGTTATTTTCCACTTTGGTCATTAACTATACGTATAACAGTTATTCAGCTTATCTTGTAGCGAGACAAAATGTTTTTAGTGAATACCAGACTTTTTGGACTGTCATGCGGCTCCACCCTGCGATGTTTGCCACAACTGCAGCGATTGCAGCATACACAGGTCATATTGACAACGTTACGTATGCCGAGAGAAAATTTTCCAATGCCCAGATACATTCCTTTAAATGTTGAACTGATAACAGGTCTTTAATACGACGAGATTTGAAGTTACTGTCTGAGGCTCCTGTGTAGTGGTATAAATGATTTTATATACATCTTATGATACGATGTAATATTCACGATATGAGAAATATTTTATTTCAATGATTGATAGTATAATGTGTATAGTGGCAGTAAAAAAATCCGGCATACTTTGATATTGGCTTTGTGACATGCCAGTCGATTTTAAATAATAACTGATACTGATACTTTCTCATTCCCCATGTGTCTCTCCAGGCCCGACATGGAAGAGGTGAACGAGTGGGGAAAGTCGTTTGACAAGATGATGAAGAGCTGCCGTAAGGAACTACCCATTCATTAACATGTACCGTGATGTGGTGTGATGTGATGTGACGTGTGTGATATACGTAGTTTGATGTGGATGTGTGTGATGTAGTTTGATGTGGCGGGGTGTGGTACATTTTGATTGAATTTACATTTAGATAAGATACCACGTCGGTAGAACGTGTACATGTTGTACTGCGCCTGCGCGAAACCCGAATTCGCCAAGGTTTTAGTTGGATGTTTGGTCAACTTTGCATCAGGATTTCGCCCTTTACAGACAATATCTTTTCCGACACAACAGTCGGAGACTATAGACGGGATATCATTCTTAAATACTCGAATACGACCGAAAATGAGACTTTTTGCTGGGCACAATATTACGGGTTTCGAACATGCAGGCGCAGTAGGTTCTGCCGACGTGCTAGGGGAGATGGCGTTCGTTGTACTATCACATACACTAATCAGTGTTTTTGATCCGCGTGCAATTTTTTTCAGATGGAAGAATAATATTCAGGGAGTTTCTTAAGACCGAATACAGCGAGGAAAACATGATGTTTTGGCTAGCTTGCGAAGATTTGAAGAAGGAAAAACCAGAGAATCAAAGTGCCATCGAAGAAAAGGCAAGGCAAATATACGAGGACTACATATCAATTCTATCCCCAAAAGAGGTAAGAGCCAACGCACTTTGATAACCAACCGTTTAAGATGTTTCATTTGACTGCATGTTATGTTTTTATTAATTTATTTATTTACTTCACCATAAAACGGCTGGGTAGCCCCTTCAGCTAGTAGAAGCTGCTTTCCAATGGGACCCAGAATACATTCACACAGGACAAGACATGATCACCATTGCTGCCAGACAAGTCGCTGGGTGTACTATGTGTCATTGGCGATATCTGTAGTTACTTTACAAATTTTGCAAACAAGTTGAACCTGGAATTTTTCTTTCTTTCGTCAACAGGTGAGTATAGACTCACGAGTACGGGAGATTATCAACAGAAACATGGTGGATCCAACTCCAAGCACGTTCGACGAAGCGCAACAGCAAATCTATGTACTGATGCATAGAGACTCCTACCCAAGATTTCTGAACTCTAAAATGTTCAAAGACCTCTTAAGACAAGTGTCATCAGAAGGAGCATCTAGCTGAAGCTTGGAGTGGATGGGTATCATGATATAGCTTTATGTATATTGTTATGTTATCCTTTCTTTGTATTACTTAGTTGCACCTCCTACGACCGTAACGTGTGCGTATGATGTACTTGTAATATGCCATATTTTGTACAACGATATCGATTTACCTTCACATCGTGTGGCGGCACCGGAATTGTTCAGGCCAGAATGTAGAGGTAGTCGAAAGGTTCCCGCTTTCCTTGGTTCAACGATGACAAAATCCATGGATCGGGATCGTGAGGAGCTCGACTAAACTACCCTGACGTACAAGATAAGAACCAGAACCCTGTGCTGCTGCCAAAGCAGGAGGGGTAGCAGAGAAATGTTGATACATATACTTTGAAATTCTTACCACATGTTGTGGGTGATAAAAAGCCATATCGATTCATAAAGCCTTTATTTGGTAATGTTGTGTTGACGGACACACTGTCTGCTAATAACAGAACGTCCGGATCAGGCAGCCGGAACGAAGGCCAGGCAGTCAAGCAATGCCTGCAGTATCGCAGATGCAAACTTCCTGAAGGACGGGACAGTTTTTCTGATGCATAGCTCTGTTCTTTTTGCTGAAAATTCGGCAATCTTCCCCTGGATTTTTCTCATCGATGTGTCATCCTTTTCACGAGTCTGCACTGTCTGGGCGCCGTGGACAAACCAAGACATCATTGTCACTATCAATCTGCTTCATCCGGACCGAAAGCCAAAAAATACGACGGAACCGGACAACACATCGATGGTGCTTTGCAAAATGATGGTTATGTTTGGGTAGTATGGCAGCAGGCGGCAGAGGAAATGTGCATACGCGAGCTGTTGACGTGGACGTAGGAACTGCCTGTCTCCTCTTACGTGCAGCGAACCCATCACCTCTGCTCCACCCCTCACGGCCTCCACACAAACTGCGTGTTGGTGATATATTTTGGTAGTGTGCACGATGTAGATGAGAACAATGCACGTTTTTATGTGTCGGCAATGAGTATCCTGCTAGATAAGCAGCATCTTTCAACAATGTTAAGCTTGCCTCGAAATTGGCCGAAAAAGATCTATTTACACAATTCACCATTCTCACAAAAAGCTTAATCCGTTACATTGGTTGATAGATATTTGTGAATAAGACCTGGCATTTGCACTGTTGAAAACCTGACTGTAACGGAGGTTCATTTCTGCATCAATCTTACTCTGCAACACATATGATCTGCAGAAAACGCATGATGGGATAGTGTGAAAATATCTAGGAAAAATCATAAAGGAATTAGACTCTTAAGACATTCGCTTTAGACATTTGTTTAAAACTAGCCACTTGCGAATGTGAGAACCTTTAGATATCACAGCATCTCAGTATTATGATAATTAGATAGGTAGCGAAGACAAACTTTGTCTTTTCGTTTCCAGACTCTTTCTTCCAAAACATGTATCTGTGTAGTAATGTTGAAAAGACACTATATACCATGGCTCGTTCATGCATGTACAGCGCATGCATTTTGCGTATTGCTAGTCTCATCATGCAAATTGGTGCGTGGACCTCAAAGAAAACTATGTACAAAGAAAACGAAGGTTAGGCAATCGGATCAACTTACTGACTGTGTGACTTTATCGAAAGATGTTTCATCGCCAATTTCTAACTAAACAAGTGTCAATGTAAAAGGGCTTTTCACGAATAACTAATGTGGGCGCAGGTCGCCATCTCATGTCTCCTCACGGTTATGGTTGAAGTATGGTACCGTGAGTTTTTGTTAGATGTCGTATTGTCATGTAGAGTTACCGACAGTATATTGATGTACGAAGTAAGTTAAATCAAGTCATAATGCTGTGCTATTGGGGTGTCTGTAAGAAGAAGAAGAAAAAACAAAAACAACACAAAAATATGCTCCGGCAGCCGGGACCAAGCAGCACCGCGAGAGGTGATGACAAACTAATGATCAGATAAATCATATCAGTCGTCCTCTTGAACACGCGAAGTAAAAACACCTCACTTAAACTGGAGTGGGAGCAACACAGGATATGTTGGCGTGAACTCCACAATCGGAACGTGCACTTCCCCGTGCAGAATCGCCCAGGATGCGGAGGATCCCACAGAGACCTGCTGATAAGGATACGGAACCTTTTCGTGACGTCTTTACACTACTGAGGTTTTCGAGTTCTCGTGCTCTATCCCTGGAAACATGTTGCCAAGGACACTCCGTACGGAGTACTGCATCACCTGAGACAAAAGGCGAGATTGCGCAGGACGCTGCCTCTACGGAATCCAAACATAACCTCCCCTCAACCAGATGTCACCACTCCTAGCAATATTTCACCTTCTACGTACGGTGATACCTTTGAAATACAGCCAAACACCTGGTTACCGATAGATAGTTGTTCTTGTAATGATATTATAGTCATTATTAGTTTGAAAAAATGATTGCCGATGTATTTACTTAAATGTATCTTTGTCCATAAACACTGTGAGCCAAATGTTGTCAACGTCCCTTACAAGGAAGACAGAAACACTGCTTATATGGTAATATTTACCGTTTTAGTTGACAAAATTACCCTGATGAGAGTTGTCATCTTCACTACGACTGTTAATGAAAGATATCATACTCTGACAGAACGTGTAGTTTCATCTGAGCGATGACGGCATCCCCAAAATGCCTCGATCGTGCTTACTGTCAGACAAATGTAATCCAAACGCGGTTTGGCTATGTTTAGAGCTCTTCATCGACGTTATGTTTAAACAAAATTCAGTAAAACGTTTCAAAGAACTTTAAAAGAAACAGGGATGTATAGAAAATACAGCGTGTGGTGTTTCTAGGACAACCATGCATCTCCCTCAAGCTGATATCTCTACGGTGACAAATATCTACAGACATCAGCTATTTTTGATGCCCTCTAAACAGTCGCTCAGGATGCCTTTGTCACCATCCTTTTACTTGTAGATTTGTCCTTGTTTGAAACGATCCCGACTTCTGTTTAGTGAATGTGGACATTATTCTCATTGTCCTCTTAGCTGTCACATACGGTACTGTTTGTAAGACTGTTTTCTGGACGATGTGTTTCTCTATGACTACATGGTCATCGATGGTCACCCGAAGAACACATGACCGGGGCATGCGCGTAGGAGATGCCCCCTTGTACAACTCACCAACTGACTGGTGCGTTTTCAGTCAGATATTGATAGTTTCATAGTTCTCTCTAATGCGATTCTCTGGTTCTCAAAATACACATACTTCTTCAAGTCTTAGGTAGAAAACGCACACCCACAAAAAAACAACGTACGTGAATTCCTCAGCGACTACCATGACCAAGCTTGTATGGGTTGATGCAAGTGGGTTAATCCTAGCCAAAAATCAACACTGTCAATGGAATATAGAGTAGCTTGTTGCCAACATAGTGTGAGTACTGTCTCATACTGCACATTTTGAACTGTATCTCCTATCGGCACCTTCCGGCCATGTATTCTTAGAAACACGGTCACAACTCATGTCATAGTCTCACGGCAGTACACGAGACAGAACCGAGAAGGCCCTATCTGTGGCCAGTAACTGTAAATAGTTTTCTGTGTCAGATGATGTGTAAGAAGTTATGGGGTGTGTAAAGATGTTGTCAGAACTTGTGCAATCTATGAAAAAAATTTATATGCAAAGTACGTTGACTTTGAACTTGAGTTTGCCTGGAGTGGTTATTTACATCACAGATAGCTGGAGTGCATGAAAAACGGTTGCCAGATTTAACACTGCACGAAATTATATATTTAAGCACGGCTTTATATATGCTTAAAGGTGCGATTAACGATATGCTTTCGTGCATTTGATCTGACAGATACATTGCACGGAATCATATCTTTCAGCACTCCTTAAAGCATGTGTAAAGGTGGAAATGTCGGATCACTTTGCTGTATATTGAAAATGGCAGCAATTCCCAGTTTATCCTATACACATGTAGCATTTACACACTCGTGGTCCACACTTTGAAACAAGTCGTTTGACTGGTCTGCTTAAGGGCTGCATTAAGATTATTGATAGCTCTACACATACCACGATGCTAGAAATATAAGCTCAGCACATCAAAGCTAAACTTCAAAACGCGAGTTTAATATGAGAACTGAACACGAACAGATATCAACGTTTGGATCATTACATGGCTTACCAAAGAAATTATAAGTTGGATTGGGTCGTGCTTTCCATTTTTTGTTTGAACAATAACATGTATAGTATATTTATATATCTATCTAAAGACACTCGTTACTCTCTACACTACCCAGCGAGACATCAATGCTCTGCAAGTCCTTATCGCTATGTTCATGGACGGTATTACCTGTTAAAACACCGAAAGGTTTTATCTCATTAAAGCGACCTATACCACTTTAAGTGTTAGAGACAATGGAGGGCGCGTAGGTCATACTTGTAGATACAGGTATGTTGGGCATCATTCGTCAAGCTTCGGAGGTGACCTCTAACACATTCTTAGGAATGGAATTCGCCATTGCACACACCCAGCGAGTCTCTTTAGCTGTGTTACAAATCATGGGTACAATATCCTTACCTCAACACCTGTACTTTCCGTTGTGGTGCTGACGTGATGCATGCGGTTCGAAATTATAAGACGTTGTTTGGAAACTAGGACGTTTTGCACGAAGGGTATCGCTTCGGTCACAACCCGCCGTACGTGCTTCTGCGTGCTGTCTACGTGCAAAAACGTGGGCAAACGCAGGGCATCCGTGCTGGTGAGTACCGCCTCCGTACGGAATCCGAATGATTTGGGAGCACGCTGACACGCCGTAGAACTTTAAGTGCATGTAAAACTTTTTCTGCGTGCGGTCTACGGATTCACCACCCGTGCGTGCGAGTACGGGCGACGCGCGTGCCCCGTACGTACCGAACGAAAGACGCACGTGTGAGTACGGCCTCCTTACGGTAAAGTTGCAATCGGACAGAGATCGTGCGTTGTAAGCACGTACAACTCACTTACCCCTTGCGCAACGTACGATGCACGCAACCGCTCACGGCCAGACGTGGCGTGCAGACCAGACTCTTACACCTTGCGAAACTGTGCGAGTGACGTGCGTCGATGCCACTCCTTCCCCACGTTTTCAGAAAAAACGTAGAAGACGTAGCCTCCCAAAAAACGTACGGACAAAAAGCACGTACGGCGGGTTGTGACCGAGGCTTATCTCACAGAGAATCGATTAATTCAAATCGTATAGCACGTTTTCCACACGGTTTGTCACAGCCCAAACGTCCTTTTCTACACCCGATGTAAAATTAACTGCGACCATGAACTACTTACCTATCCGGCGGACAAACACACAGGCATATCAATGTGAAACGGATGTCCTAAAAATAAACACATCGTCCTGATCAAGACAGGGTCTCCCCACTTGGCTGCGGAAGGAAACAGCTGTCCTGCCACGACAGGATGATAGATGGCGTCATTGGCCCATTACCGCAGCCGCTGATTGGAGCAGTTTCCAGACGTTTTCTGGGAGGGGTAGGTCTGATGGACATGAATGTGATGGATACTATTGTCTGTCAGTATTGATGATACTTTGTGGTAAACAGCGCACTTGGATAGACATTGAATATGGGATACATGTCCAGCGTCCTCAAGACAGTGCCAGGAATAAGGAATCTGCTAGGTCCTGCGCGTGGGCATCAGCTGAACATTTCTGATTAGTAGGAATCATCACCTCCTGATATCATGATGGGGCCTCTAGCTTCTTCAGTACATTTCTGTAGAATCCACTTGTAATCGTTATTCGTAGTGACGGTACAGTAATTCTAGCAGCCTGGTCTAGAAGTATTTTTTGTCTAGAAGTATGTATATGCTGTTCGGTAGCTGGATAGTTTGGTTTGGTTTTTATAGGATGGTTTGGGTGTGTTGTCCGAATCTCCAAGCAGATCTTTCGGTGGCTGCAATACAGTATCAAACAAGAATTCCGAGATCTCATACCTCCATGAAATATGGGCTTAATATGTAAATGTAAATTTCTTCTTTAATTATGCAAATTACCTCTGCATTAACATGATATATGCATCACGATGTATGTTAACTTTTGATTAAGTTACAGATGTCCCATGTATGACATTCCCATCATTCACAATTAAGAAATCATAGAATTTTTGCATAAATTATGCAAATTAGGTCATCATTTGCATAATTAGTATCTGTTGATGTTCTCCCTGCCATAGATTACATACATTACATGTATGAAAGTAGTATAATGTAAAACACTGTAATTATAGAATTTCCTCATTAGTTATGCAAATAAAGTCCTCATTTGCATAATTTGCATTTAGTCATGTACATCTCTCTCTCAGCTACCTACACACCAAAAATTATGAAAATATGTTGTTCCTATCTGGAGCTTATTCACCACACGTCATCATGACGTCACGACCCCTCATGTCCCGTGCGACGCCATTTTGGGGCTACAGCGCCTACAGCGAGTTTCCAAGCATTGAAATGGCCGACAAACGTTAGGTAAACTGTCCTTTGTCCTATTACACGAAGAGTTAACCACCACTCATACCTCTCGTTACTGGAACAAAATAAAATCTGTTGGGATTGACCCGTTTCTGTTGAGTTTTGATCAGTCTGATAGAAACGGCGTCTACCGCCAGCGGAGTCCATTGACGTGACTTAGCTTCGTATTTGGTACTGGGCAGAAGTTTTTACACACAGGATCGGTTCAAGAGTCTGGAAGCGTTGTATCAGGATGTGTAGAAAGTGTTGTGGGACAGTTGCGTGGTGACAATTAAGTACG